AAAAAATGTGACGTTTAATAAAAATAAAATATTAAATATTTTTCAATATTTAAAAAAAATCTAACATTTTATTACTATATTTTTTTCTACATTTAAATCCATAATTAAAAATATCCTTAAGTTGGAATTAAATTATACATAAATTTAATATATTTATAATAAAAAAATTTACGAAAAAATCAATTTATATGCCTCTTTACTCCTATTGAAAAACCATTGCGAATATTGAAATAAATTTGTGTGTGTGGTGTGTGGTGTGTGTGTGTGTAAAGAAAAGCGAATTATCTTTTATACAAATTTGTTAAATTTATAAAAGATTTCAAATTGTTTTCTTTTTTTCAGTCCTAAAATAAATCGAAAGAGGAATATTTGCCCTTTTGATCTGTCAGTATATGTGCCTTTCAGAAGCGATATCCATCTTCCCAACCTCCTTTCAATATTAACGCTTGAATGGCTACCCATGTGACCCTTGAGCATCCCTTCACGTCTCACAACCGAACTCTATAGTTTGGATTTACTATAAAGTCAATGCACTAAGCTAAGAAAATGTTACACTAAAGTCGAACTCTATTTTAGAACAATGTTTATTTTGAAAATATCATTTGTACACTTCTAAAAATAAACATTTCAAAATTAATTTATCTAAGAATAAACTATTAGTTTTTCACCTCAATATATTATATCATACATTTTATATTTTTCAATTTTAAAAAAAAAACTATTCGATTTGATTAAATTTCGAAACGATTTAAGCAAAAGAAGAAATGATATTTTATAGCAAGCTTATCAATGTTATTTATTTCTCACTCCATTAGTTCTATTGTACATTTATACAAATATTTTTCTATATTTTTCTAAATAATAATAATATTTTACGAAATATTTGGTCTATATCTTTCATGCCATTAACTAATTGTATTCAATCCATTCCTCCATATTTTTCTTCGAGTTTTATCGCGCAAAAATCTATTTCTCACAGCTTATATTACATTTGTTCGTCAATGAACTTTTTCATTTTACTGTATACTGATAAAAGAATCTGTTCTCCTTTTTATCTTTTTTTTTTAATAGAAACATATTTTCATCTTAGTATAGACGTAACCAGATAATGATCGCATCCAATCTAGGTGCTTGGTATCAAACGATGTACTTTTTCAGATACTTCTCACACGTCTATGAAAAACTGTACAGGCTGATACAGAGTTAAGTCTTTCAGATCAATAAAACTATGAAGATTCTTTACTAGAATTAGAAATTTATTCCTATTCTTCTAAATTATTATCTTAAGAAAGATATTTTTGGAATATTTCAATAATATTTCTAATAAAAATTGTATCATCTTTACAACTATAGATTTACTTCTATTATTTAAAAAAATATGTATATATATATTCGCTTATTTACAGTATATTTATGAAATTATTTATAATAAAATATTAAAGAAATATTTATTTATTTTT